GGCTCCCCGTCCCTGGCCTCGGGGGTGGAGGGGGGGGGGGGGCTGGCACAAGACCGAATAAACAGGGTAGGCTTTCTGGCCCTGATGACCAGAAGGCCTCAAAGCCCGCCACTAGCTCGGGCTGGGATTGGCCAAGACCACACCTAGAGCACGCTCCTCGCCTCTTTACTTCTCTTTCATTACTGTGTTGAGTTGGAAAACATGAGTTTGTAGATCGATTGGCCAATGAGACTTGCAGGAAAGAAAACATTGATTATGACTTTGGACTATCTAATGCAATTATTAGAAACATACAAATTAAAGAAATTAATTCAGATTTAGAAGAACTAAGAAATTCCCAGAGACCTGATAGCTGCAGTATTTGACAAGTTTTGTAATAATAGGTATTTGTATGGTCAGCACAGTAACCGAACCAGGCAATGTGATGTAGTCATTGCGCGAATTCGCCTTGGCTATAGACACATCTGGCGGGTTAGTGAGGCTGAGCCACTACCAGAATACTCAGATTGTAAACTCTGTGATAAACCTTTAATGCATTCACTAGAACACTATATTGTTGAATGTGAAACCGTAAAGGACTTTAGACCTCCTGGCCTCTTGTACCACCAACTGTGTAACTATTTTATTGACTCAGGTGTTCTGGACGACATCCTAACAATTTATCCAAAATTTGCTTGTCCATTTTAAAGAATGAAGAACAATTTTTATTTCTATTACTTCTAAGCTGCATCACTTATGAGCCCATCCCTGCCCTTGTGTGGCAGTGCACAGTAGAAAGTTGTTTTCACATATCCATACATTAAAACATTGATTGTAACCATGATATATATGTGCTTCAGCCTACAGTTTAGACCTATTGTCTTGTGTGAGACCCTCTGTCCTGCGTGACAGTGAATACTAGCATTATCCTCACTTTAATAAGACTTAATCGAAATACTCAGATTAGGCAAAATTGTAATTAATTTTGCCAATAAAGATGTTAATAATAATAACTGTTTATTCCCATTACTAGGAACAGCAGGTTAGGCCAGTTTAACGTTAGCCCAGCTTTAGGTTAGGCCAGCTTTAGGTTAGGTAATATTTAGTTTAATCCAGCTTTGCTTTAAGCCAGCTTTAGGTTAGGCCAGCTTTAGGGTAGGCCAGCTTTAGGTTAGGCCAGCTTTAGGTTAGGGCAAGTTTAGGTTAGGCCAGCTTTAGGTTAGGCCATCTTTAGTGTAATCCAGCTTTGTGTTAAGCCAGCTTTAGGTTAATCCAGGTTTAGGCAAGGTTATACCTGGTTTAGGTTACGCTACCTTTAGTTTAGGCCAGCTTTAGGTTATGCCAGATGAAGAATGGGCCATATTTAGGTTAGGCCTGCGTAAAGTTAGGCCTGGGGAAAGTTAGGCCTGCGTAAAGTTAGGCCTGCGTAAAGTTTGGCCTGGGTAAGGTTAGGCCTGCGTAAAGTTAGGCCTGCGTAAAGTTAGGCCTGGGTAAGGTTAGGCCTGCGTAAAGTTAGGCCTGCGTAAAGTTAGGCCTGTGTAAAGTTAGGCCTGCGTAAAGTTAGGCCTGGGTAAGGTTAGGCCTGGGTAAGGTTAGGCCTGGGTAAGGTTAGGCCTGGGTAAGGTTAGGCCTGGGTAAGGTTAGGCCTGGGTAAGGTTAGGCCTGGGTAAGGTTAGGCCTGGGTAAGGTTAGGCCTGGGTAAGGTTAGGCCTGGGTAAGGTTAGGCCTGGGTAAGGTTAGGCCTGGGTAAGGTTAGGCCTGGGTAAGGTCAGTGTTAGACGAATTGAAGATGTTTTCGTTGGACGTCTAAAAAAAAAAAAACAGATCTGGAAAATGTGTCCATTATTAAGGCTTTTTTTAGGGAAATAATTGAATGAGTCACAGATCATTTTTAATTTAATACAATGAATTAATATTACACGGAAGACAATGTATACATGCGGGAAGCATGTGCAGTAATGAAATATATACATGTTATAAAGTGTGTGTAATAACACAAAATTTATACATGTTATAAAGTGTGTGTAATAACACAAAATTTATACATAGCAGTTTGTTGAAGATTAACTCACTTGGGAAACACCCAGAACAAAGCCTCAGAGATAACACACACACTCACACAACACCCAGAACAAAGCCTCAGAGATAACACACACACTCACACAACACCCAGAACAAAGCCTCAGAGATAACACACACACTCACACAACACCCAGAACAAAGCCTCAGAGATAACACACACACTCACACAACACCCAGAACAAAGCCTCAGAGATAACACACACACTCACACAACACCCAGAACAAAGCCTCAGAGATAACACACACACTCACACAACACCCAGAACAAAGCCTCAGAGATAACACACACACTCACACAACACCCAGAACAAAGCCTCAGAGATAACACACACACTCACACAACACCCAGAACAAAGCCTCAGAGATAACACACACACTCACACAACACCCAGAACAAAGCCTCAGAGATAACACACACACTCACACAACACCCAGAACAAAGCCTCAGAGATAACACACACACTCACACAACACCCAGAACAAAGCCTCAGAGATAACACACACACTCACACAACACCCAGAACAAAGCCTCAGAGATAACACACACACTCACACAACACCCAGAACAAAGCCTCAGAGATAACACACACACTCACACAACACCCAGAACAAAGCCTCAGAAATAACACACACACTCACACAACACACTTGGGAGTTCAGAGGGTTGCCTCCAGGCTGTGACGAGGAGTGGCCAAGGAAAGTAACCCTCCCATGGCGAGATATGATATAGAGGTGACATGATCACTATATACAAGATCCGTAAGGAAAGGGATGGTTTGGGCTCAGAGCCAGAGGGATCCCGAACACCTAAATGAAGCAGTTACAATAATATTTTTCCTTATCAAACGGCAGCAGGAGAGGAGGAGGAGGTGGAGAACAAAATGTGTACACGGATTTGGAATACTTTATGCATAACGCGAGGTTATGAAGTATTTTCTCTCTGCGTTATGAAGAGAAAACGCAAAGCCACTCTTACTTTAAAGATATATGAGGACAAGGAGATGGGATAAGAGGACAAGGAGCTGGGATAAGAGGACAAGGAGCTGGGATAAGAGGACAAGGAGCTGGGATAAGAGGACAAGGAGCTGGGATAAGAAGACAAGAAGCTGGAATATCAGGACAAAGTGCTGGATTATAAGGACAAGGAGCTGGGATATGAGGACAAGAAGCTGGGATATGAGGACAAGAAGCTGGGATATGAGGACAAGAAGCTGGGATATGAGGACAAGAAGCTGGGATATGAGGACAAGAAGCTGGGATATGAGGATAAGGAGCTGGGATATGAGGACAAGGAGCTGGGATATGAGGACAAGGTGCTGGGATAATGAGGACAAGGAGCTGGGATAATGATGACAAGGAGTTGGGATATGAGGACAAGGAGTTGGGATATGAGGACAAGAAGCTGGGATATGAGGACAAGGACGTGGGACATGAGGACAAGGAGCTGGGATATGAGGATAAGGAGCTGGGATATTAGGACAAGGAGCTGGGATATGAGGACAAGGAGCTGGGATATGAGGATAAGGAGCTGGGATATGAGGACAAGAAGCTGGGATATGAGGATAAGGAGCTGGGATATGAGGACAAGAAGCTGGGATATGAGGACAAGGACGTGGAACATGAGGACAAGGAGCTGGGATATGAGGATAAGGAGCTGGGATATTAGGACAAGGAGCTGGGATATGAGGACAAGGACCTGGGTATGAGGACAAGGAGCTGGTATATGAGGACAAGGATCTGGGATATGAGGACAAGGAGCTGGGATATGAGGATAAGGAGCTGGGATATTAGGACAAGGAGCTGGGATATGAGGACAAGAAGCTGGGATATGAGGACAAGGACGTGGGACATGAGGACAAGGAGCTGGGATATGAGGATAAGGAGCTGGGATATTAGGACAAGGAGCTGGGATATGAGGACAAGAAGCTGGGATATGAGGACAAGGACGTGGGACATGAGGACAAGGTGTTGGGCTATGCGGACAAAGAGCTGGGATATGAGGACAAGGACCTGGGTATGAGGACAAGGAGCTGGGGTATGAGGACAAGGAGCTGGGATATGAGAACAAGGAGCTGGGATATGAGGACAAGGACCTGGGTATGAGGACAAGGAGCTGGTATATGAGGACAAGGAGCTGGTATATGAGGACAAGGAGTTGGGATATGAGGACAAGGAGCTGGGATATTAGGACAAGGAGCTGGGATATGAGGACAAGGTGCTGGGATAATGAGGACAAGGAGCTGGGATAATGATGACAAGGAGCTGGATATGAGGACAATGAGCTGGTATATGAGGACAAGGAGCTGGTATATATATGAGGACAAGGATTTTACATATCTAGTCAAGCATAAGACTAAACTGGAAAAGGCTCAAAGGTTTTCCACCAGACTAGTACCAGAACTGAAGGGTATGAGCTACTAGGAGAGACTACGGGAATTAAACCTCCCGTCACTGGGAGTCAGAAGAGTTAGAGGGGATATGATCACCACATACAAGATTCTCAGAGGAATTGATAGGGTAGATAAAGACAGGCTATTTACCACAAGGGGCACACGCACTAGGGGACACAGGTGGAAACTGAGTGCCCAAATAAACCATAGAGACTTTAGAAAGAATTTTTTTCAGTGTCAGAGTAGTAGACAAATGGAATGCATTAGGCAGTGATGTGGTGGAGGCTGACTCCATACACAGTTTCAAGTGTAGATATGATAGAGCCCAATAGCCTCAGGAACCTATACATTAGTTGATTGATAGTTGAGAGGCGGAACCAAAGAACCAGAGCTCAACCCCCGCAAGCACAATTAGGTAAGTACTATTAGGTAAGGAGCTGTGATATGATGACAAGGAGCTAGGATATGATGACAAGGAACTGGGATATGATGACAAGGAACTGGGATATGAGGACAAGGATCTGGGATAATGAGGACAAGGAGTTTGGATATGATGACAAGGACCTGGGATATGAGGACAAGGAGCTGGAATATGAGGACAAGGATCTGGGTTATGAGGACAAGGCACTACGATATGAGGACAAGGAGTTGAGATATGAGGACAAGAAGCTGGGATGTGAGAGCGGGATGAAGGAACTGTGCTCAGTTACTTGCACCATCGGTAATCGAACACTGACCTGCATGAGGGAAGGTTATATACAGAGATAAAACAACCCGGGGAGGAAGGAAGTGGTCACAGTGATGGAGGAGCCGCCGCGCGCTGAGGCACTCACATGGGTACAGTCAGGGGGTGTGGGCACATCATAGGTTATGAGATCAGTGAGGTGTTACGGTTGCTAGAGGCCGTAGAGCGTACTGGAGTGTGCTAGAGTGACGAGGAGTGCACTCTCCCACGGCACTCATGGCAGAGTGCAACCCGGTACTCTTACCTAATGCGACGCATTTTGTTTACGCATAAATTTTCAGTTAAAATCGGCGAAGTATTAGTACAAATTAAAGCATCGTAATAGTAGCGTTATTCATGTATGGGCCACGAAAGACACTTGTCAATACTGTCGTGGGTTTTATTGTACTAAAGCACCAGAATTTCGACGTTGAGCTCCAGAGCGTAAAGTGTGAGGTGCGGAGAGTGTGGGGCGAGGGCGGTGCCCGCGCTGGTCGCGTCACCAGCTGTTCACAATGTAAACACAGTCACAAAACATGTAAGTACAAGACACTTTCGTCATTTTCTGTAATATAAATATATATTTAATTTATCTTCATGTAAGCACAAACTCACGAAGCTAAACATTTGCATGGTAAATATTCATACATGGAACCTGTCAGTATACATACATACATGTTCACCAAGACAACAGGAACAATACAAATGGCAGAGAACAATCATGTTTTGCCTCCAGTGTACTGACTGAGGTAATGACTAAGTATAACACTGTTGAAGAAGGAGAGTGAGGCGGGAGCACCCTGATGTGCACTCCAAGGGCTTCCTCGCCACATTTCACTATCATCACATACTTCATAATGAGAGGATCACTTGGAGCTGCTTAAGCCACTAGACCAGTGGCTTAAGGCGTGTGTTCGGGAGTACCCAGGGTACAGGTTCGAATCCTCCTTGTAACTCTAACTGATTTTCTCATTGATGCATCACGGTAATGGTATTTCTTTGTGCATACTTCACACTATTCGATACATCACCGTTGTTCAACAACACACATCCTTAAGCTTAAGGATTATCTGCCAGATCTAAAGTACTGGGACGAGGAGTCATTGTGTACACTGCTGTCGTTACTGGGCGACACTGTAGGCCCTCAGAGAGGGCTCCCGGCTAGCTCTTCAGGATGGGGAGGTCTTGTGAACAGTGGTCCGCGGGGTGACGCCATGACCTTCCTTGACGTGTTGTGAGCCGGTGACCCGCCTCTCCCTCACTGTGGCCAGCGATCATCTACTGTCACACAGACCTTGAGAAGTCACCAGGGCCAGGAGGGCCGGCCAGGGAGGCCAGGAGAGCCGGCCAGGCAGGACAGGCGTGACGGCCAGGGAGGCCAGGCGTGCCGGCCAGGGATATCAGGAGTGCCGGCCAGGGAGGCCAGGAGTGCCGGCCAGGCAGGACAGGCGTGCCGGCCAGGGATATCAGGAGTGCCGGCCAGGCAGGCCAGGAGTGCCGGCCAGGGAAGCCAAGAGTGGGGGGCCAGACAGACCAGCAGTGGGGCCTGTCACTAGCACGAGTCCTTCCTGGTGAGGACATACTCCTGCCCCATGTGTTGCACGGGGTCCTTGAAGCAATACCGCCACCTGTACCACGTTAAGATTTTATTAACCAAAGGCTCAAATTCTGCTCAATTAAGCTTTTCTTTAACACCTGATTTACATTATATTTTACATTTCTTAAAAGTGTATGATGAATAAAAGGTGAATGCATATATTAGTTAAGCACCGAACTGAGTGAAGATCCGGGAGTAAAATTTAATAAAATACCGAAGCAGAAGCTTCTCAAAAATAAGTAAGAAAGCTTATGTGTGTGACGCCTTGAGGAGCGTGTAGAGCAAGTCTGCCTTGGCCTTGATGTCTTAGTGGCCGTCGTCCTGTAATCTCCCAACACTGATCTAGTTTCTGTGGATGTACACTTTGGTCTCACTATAATAATTAATAATAATAATTAATTTTGTCGCGGGACAGGCAGCCAGTGAATATATTTACATGTTAGGCTTATATAGAGGCCCCCTTCCCCCTCCCCAAGGTCACACAACTGACCCTGATACTGCCTCTCAGTGACCTCGAGGCGCGTGTGTGTGTGTGTAAAGTGACCAACCTCGCGGTCTGAGACCAGCTCGACGGGGTGAATATAGTGCTTGGTGTGGCTGTGTGCCCCAGAGCCTTACTGTGCGGTGCTCCGCCCACAGCTGCTGTGCGGTGCTCCGCCCACAGCTGCTGTGCGGTGCAGCAGCTTGTACTCACTTGATATTCCGTCCAAGGGGTTCAACACTGACGGACTTGAGGTGGAGAACCGGGTTCTTGAACCGCCATATGATGTTGAACATGAAGTTGGGGTAGTGGAGTGTTACTCCCAGCGTCTCCAGGTGGCCCACATCATGAGTGAGGATGACCCTGCGGTGGACGGTGCCGGCCTCGTAGTACAGCGACCTACAACAACAGTAGTCATCATGTAACCATCACGGCATCACAACTCATCAAGTGACAGCTTGACACGATATTACTGAAGCTTTATTTGTAACACATTTAAACAAATCGATACAATTCCAACCTAACTGAACAAAATATACAATTGAAAGAAACGAAGTGTAATTGCATAACAAGAGTAAGAACAGCTTACAGTTGGAGGCACTTATGGTGTAGAAGCTGCCACAACAACATGGGCAACCTCAGAGGAGAAGTGAAGAATAATCTAGCATCAATACAAGGGTCGCTGGGAGGACTCAACACCCTGTGCTACAAGGTTATAGGTAGACCCTCATCTACAGTGCACCTTTATCTGCGCTAGAATTCAGTGATTCTGGTGTAAACGTTTGGAAATAAATAAGTGTGTACTGGTCTATTTATGCCAACAGAATCGAGCTTCAGCTATTAAATCCCGCCTGTAGGCCTGCCTAACTGCATGTCTCCCATCATATCTTTTGAAATAGCTCTACTACGACATCGTCTACGTCATGCTATGTTGTTCATACTGTGTGTGGCAGGAGTGTTGTCTCACTCGTCTGTCACTCTTCTGTGCCTTTAATTCCCATCTTTGTCCTCCGAACGTTTTGACATGACAGGACGGATCTCATTGAAACTTTTAATATACTGAACAATTTGGAAGATGTTGATCCGGACAACTTCTTCGCAAGGTGAGATGTAACACAAACAAGGAGCAACGGCTTCAAGCT